GAAAGATTATGAAAGAAATGTATTCAAATGCCTAAAGCATAGGCAGGCAGAGAGTGGGAGCTGCTAAAGCACAGTATGGTTCAGAATCTTTCACTGGTTCCTCCAGACTCCTCAGCGCCTCCAAATTTTGGCCCAGAGATCATGGTCTTTCTATCAAAACACTCCTGTACATATAAAAAGCCCAATGAAAATCTCTGAAGTCTGCCTTGGGGAAGACTTTGGCTTTTTGGCATTGGGATCAAGTTCTAACGGGTGAGACTTAAGGTTCCTCCTGAGTGAGAACATCTACCATGGGACATAACACCTTCTTAATGGACGAACATCATCCTCACACCTGTAGCTGAATCACCCTCATTTCTCAAAGTCCTTATGTAGAGACTCAGGAGTTCTGAAAGAAAATGGAGAACCTTTGGGAACAAAGGAGCAAATGGCAAAGCCTGTTTTTCAACCTTTTACCACTGAAGTGTTAATTTTCCTCCAAGCCCTTGAATAGTGTACTTTCAGTTTCCTCTTTCTTCTGCCTGCCCTTAAAACTCTACTAAACCCCCTGGAGAACAGCACCACTCCTGAGTGCTTAAAAATAATCTGGGGCTCTCCAGAAATTTGTCATCACACAGTTCAGCCAGTCCCTCAATGTTTTGGGAAATACATTGACCTATATTCAGTGCCACATCTCTGGGAGTTGAAGACATGAATTATCAAACAATACTGTGTTTGTTTCAAACGCAGAAAACAGTGATAACCAATGCAGTGTGATCTAGGTCTCAATCACTGCAGTGGTAAAGGAGTCAGAATATTTTCTTTCAAACCTTGAGACAAACGAGAGGAAAAGCCATCATATGGAAATAACTATTGATGGACACAGTTATATTTTAACAGAGAATACCAAAGGCTTGAAAACTGCAAGGAATCAAATTAATGACCTGGAAAACAAGCTCAAATTAAGAAACATCAGGTTGGAGGTGGATCCTTAGGGCTCACTGGCGACAAGAATAGCTGGGGATGAATAATCTTTGATTCCCTCTTCAGTATGTCTCTGCTCATTGTGTTTCTAGCAATGACAATCAGGCAACACCCAACATGATGTTTACCAAATGTGCAACATGTTACAGATCACATTGTAATTTTCAACTCATCTGCCTTTTCCAGACTCCAACTCTGATTTCCTTAGTGGTAGAATGAGGAGTTAGTTTCAGGACTGAAGCTACTCCATAATTACACCAGTATAAATAAAATTATGTTCAACCTTCTTTATGGATCTTAAAATTTGAGTGCTATCTCATAAATTATTTTTGAACTTTAAGTTTAAAGAGTACTACAACTAATTTGTTTTCAGAAACACATGGCAGGTTTGATTCTTTGCTTGTCCTAGTGTGAAGCAGGAAAGTGCCTCATCTCACAACTGCAAAAGCACAAAATTGATGACAGAAGGGAATTGGACTCTTTGGTTATTTATAGAATGTTAATCTTGTGATTATACTAATCAGAATCATTATTTACATGGCGCCTGTCTGCTCAAGCATTATAGCCATCTCTCAAAGACACTCCGAAAGGCACAAAGTACTTGATTCTGTCTGCTTAAATACAAAGTACTTATGTCTGAAACATTTACCATGGTCACTCCTGGCATTGCTGTTTACACAGTTAAAGAATAAAAGCCACTGAAGTGAATGACAAGGTCACTATTTTATCCAATAAAACTGAAAACTGTCTCTTATGAAAACAATTTAAAAAAAATAAATTCCAGGCAATCAAATAAAGCCCACTTCTCTGGGCTTTGGGTTCTCTGGCCATAGAGGTTAAGGATGATGGGGACACAAGATAATATTGAAAGGATGCAGTATCAGGGCAGAAGAGTATATGAGGATTGTGGTGGCACTCTGAATTCTGTAGTCCATCAGAAGGATGAATGAATCTCATCCAAAACCATGTGGATCCTGTTCCTGATGGATGGCAATAGCAATGCTGGGTCACTTATGCTTACGGGCTGCAAAGCCCATCTGGCTCTAGAGCAAAGACATTTGTAGAACAGTGCTGTGAAATCCCTCATGACTGTTAGGTGACAAAAAAAGACTTACTCTTTTGTGCTGGTTAACCTGTGATTCGGTATCGGCGAGATGCAAGGTGGGAGTAGGCATGAAGCTGAGGGGTCCTCCAGGCGCTGCTTCTTGCTTTCAACCAAGGCATCCAGGTTTTCTGTCTGCTTTAACAGAAAAGGTAGAGCTTGAAAGATCCAGCATCTATGAACAATTTCACTTGTCACTAAGAGGAGCTCATGAATCTCAGTGTATTTCCTTTGTAGTAGCAGCACTTAAAGTACTGGTCTGAGAGAAATGAAAGTCACCTGAAATCAGGGCTAAATATGCTCCAAACACATGACATGAAGTTATATAACAAGTGACATAGCCAGATAATTAGGTAGCAAAATGCCTTATGTGCTATAGTTCTCTTCTGTAGTGCACTGCAATTTAATTAATAATTCAGATGGAATGACTTGATAGCACCAAATCTTACTCAAGTAAATAGCTTTTATTCATTGACTTAATGGAAGTTGATGGAACAACTTCTCTGAGTAAGTATTCCTCACAGACTAAAAGACTACAGGACTGAGCTGAGGTAGTCATTAACAGTGATAGCTGGTTCAAAATTTCCTTTGAAAGATTCCCTGATGCATGACTTTTGTGCCTGAACTAGGATGATACAAGCAAAGCTGATTACTGCTCTGTCACTGGAACTTTCATATCAGCCTTCAAGCCCACTAGTATATGGCTAAAATAAATCTTTTAATAGCATGATTTCGAAACACAGATCAGGCTCTCTCTACCCTGTTTTAACTGTTGATATGCTTTAAAGTCATTCTAACCGGTATGTTTTCCCATGGACAGGAGAGAACAATCATAAAGCAACTGAACAGGCTCTTTCAGAGAGCAGCTTGTGTTTGTACTGTTCCAGAGTTAGATTCCTCATTTTGTTACTTGCTGATTCAAAGTCCCAGATAATGAAATTAAGAGGTTCCAACTTTCATATAACTCCTCTTTTTTTCCTGGAAGCCGTCAGTTTAGATACCAACACTATACTTGTGTTTTAGCCAAGATTCCTTCTCCATCATATTGACACTCCACTAAGTTACCTAGTATGACCTTTTTTTGCATAATTAATACATACCCTGGTGTGCTTATATATGTGTGGACATCTATACATCCCTTTCCTCTTTCTTTTTGTCTCCTTCCTTCTTACATATCTGCCTTTAGTGTACAGCTAGGACATAAATTGAATAAAAACCTGCTGAGTTTACTCATGTGATTATTTCCACTTAATTCAACAGAGAAGGAGCCAGTGCAGTGACTCATGTAGGCAGGGGTGCAGACCCTGTGTCTGCCTGGCATTGTCTGTCTTTTCTTGTATTAACTCTCTCGTACCACTGGACTGCTCAAACTCAAGATTTCAAGAAGTCCACTAGTACACACAGCTAAGTCACATGCACATTGATTTATAAAATTTGGGGTATAAAAAAAAACATGCTATGATGCCTTCTCAGAGACAGACCAGGGCACAACCATTTCAGCTAAAAAAAAATGACTAAAAAAAATTCATTTATCATATAAAACTTCTGTTTCTTCTCTGCAAACACATTTAGTTTGAAGTGCACTGTCATATCTCACACGATAGGATACCCTTGGGCATAAATAACATAAAACACATGATAAAATGTAATGCCTTAAGTCAAAATGCATTTGCTTTTTCAGCTAGCTGTGTAGAGAAAGCAGCTAGTTAAGCAAATGATATTTCTATGGATCCCATTTGTTTATACATAAAGACTAAACCCACCAGGAGCATAAGCAAGCAACATTCCATTGACTTTAATGTACCTACGCCAGTTTAAGCCAGTGGTGAAAATGTGAAAATACCTCAGTTCTGCAGACAATAAAACCTGCCTTCCAAATAGGAGTCACATTTTCTGAGTATGTTTGAACCCATAGTAATATGAATTCATCACTGGGAATCTTTCTGCAGGTTACACAACACTGGAAATTAATGGATAAGTGAGCAAATACAATGAAAAAGCTTGTAAGACAAATAGCAAAAAAATTTACATTATTCATTGATTTTGTCAGCTGGAGTTTCAGGTGTTAATTTGTAAATGTATGTCCTTCGTGAAAACAATAAAGTCTTGAGGGTGCACAGAAATTCAGTGGTTTCTTCCAGACTATAAAAACTACTTACCTTGTGTTTCCTTTTGGATTTTGTGGACAGTTTTTCAGCTGCTGGGGTAGGGGACTCTCGAGATGGTCGCCTGTGTTTCACATTTGCTTCTCTTGGTTCACTTTTCACAGATGTGGTCTCAAAAGGCTCTTGTCCAGGTATCCTAGAGAGTAAACTAAGGTCTATTTTCACCCACAGAGATTTGAGTTCTTCATATTCTCTCAGTGGGGACAGAAGTTCATTTTGTACGATTGGGATAGGAGAAAAGAGCTGCTCCTCCAAGTCATTGCTGGTCTGGTCAATGGATGTGTTGCTGCCATTGCTAGTTAAACTACTTACGCTGAGGATGTTACTGCCAGAGTCCTTCACTTTAACACCATTGCCAGACCCAGTGCAAGCTGGCAGTACCTTAGCCTGCAAGCTCTCCTCCTGGTCTGTATTTGAGTCAGAAGTAGATGAATCTGTCTCAATGAACTCCCGGGACTTAGGGACAATTTTGCTGGGGCCTCTGTACTTTTTCTTCTCTGAATTGAGACCTGTGCTAGTTCGTGGCTCTTTCCTTGGAGCGGTCTTCCCAACTGCTGCTTTAGTTCGAACCTTTGGCTGCTCGGAGGGTTCCTGTGGGTCTTTTTCTTTGGGAGTGTTGCTGGTATTATTTGGTTTGGGCCAGTTATACTCTTCTACACTGGAAGTCCTTTCTACCTTTTTGGGTTGCTTTTTCCCAGTAGTCCTTTGTGAAGTTGGCTCATTATGAGCTGGTGACTTCTGCTTGGAGCTTTTTGCCTCTGGGGTTTTCTGGACAACCCGTGGTTTGCCTTTCTCTCGGACGGGACTAAGGATTGCCCGGTCTTTGGAATCGGCTGGGGGCAGGCTGCTGTTAAGCTTCCCTTTGTTTGGCCCTTCGGCCTGCTGGTTGCTCTGGGCCTGGGAGCTGGTCTCGCTGTGAGGCTCATTTTGATTGTTGATGATGGTCTTGTTGTGGGGGTTCACTTTATTGAGCCATTTATCGAGCTGCCATTTGTTTGTTGAGGGAGGTTCAGGCTGCAGTTTGAAGAACAAGGGACAAATCTCAGACAGGAGCAATGCTTTTCCCGTTAAACAAGAACGTTTTTAACGCGCCCTTTTATTTCAGTCAGCTAGTGGTGACTGTTAGTTTTATGGAAGTATTTATGGAGTATTTATGGTTAATTAGGCTTCCTTATCTGGTTTACAATGCCACCCTGGAGATATTTAATACAACTAAAAAGTTTAGCTGGTCCCTGAAGACAGAGTTTTGTCATGTTGCCTTTCCTTAGTCCCAGCTGAATACTGGGTCAATAAAATCTTCTCTAGCTACTGGCAAAAATCTAAATATTTCTTTAAAGCAATTCAAATCTAGGCCAGAAGGATTCCTCCGAAACCTAGAATGAGTATGTGGGTCATACACATAAAACTGTAAAGGAGAAAGAAGTCAAGAGGGCCAAGCAGCAGGGAACTCCCCTCTCCCGATAGGGCGCAGGACCACAGCCCCCGTGCGGGCCCCGATCCCCCGGGCAGGCGGGAGCGCGGCGGTACCTCTGGCGTGGCACTGCGCGACTCCTCATTGCACTCGCTGTCGCTGGAGCTGCTCTCGCTGTCAGAGTCGGACTCGGAGCTGCTCTCGGACTCGCTGGAGCTCCCGGAGCCGCCGCTGGAGTGGGCCAAGCCGGGTGCATGTGCCACGGGCACGGGCAGGCTGCTGCAGGGAGAAGGGGCCCTCCGGTCAGTGTGCCGCGTGCCTTTTCTAACCCAGAGAACCCTTTTCACACCAGCTGCCCTCAGTGTCAGCTCCCTCCCCTCCAGCACACACCCAGGGAAAGCTCTGGTGGCCAGGCCACGCTGCAGCCACCAAAGGAGCTGGCTGGGTTTATGCTTCACTGACAATGGTGTTCATAACACTACCACCATCATCACCCTCAAATGAGAAACACTTCAGTGTCACAAGCCTGAGCTTATTAGCCCAATGATTGCGAAAACTAACAATCACACTTAAATAATTCATTAATGGAATCTTGGTGTCTTCATTTTTTGCTGGTTCATTTATAATTTATGATCAAAGGAAGGACATCAGGCAACTAATATTGGACAGGGCATTTTAAAAATTAATTTTAATGAATACTTTTACACTGCGGCATACAAAAAAATACACATTTTTGACAAGTCTCCAGAGACTGCCCAAGAATTTTTTATTTATAGCTGTTTTTCTCTCATGTTTATGATAATGCGGTGAGAAGATGGCATTCATGCTGAAAATAAACCTTTCTGTGAAATCTGTTTTCCTACATGTTCAATTGTCCTCCAAGATGTATTTATTAGCAGTGCACTGGCTGTCATTGTTTTTCCTCAGCACTTATTTCTAAATGGAGAGGTCGGATGACCCCAGCTTTTAGCACTACAGAATTCTGCCAGTCTGAGTCTTTACAAACTCATCTTTAATTTCAATTTTTTCGTCAGGGAGATAACCGTAAGGTTTTATGTCTTCAGCTGATCTATACAGAGACTTTTTATGATTGATTTTAAATTTGAGAAGCTGACAAAGCAAAGTGTTTGAAAATTGACACCATTTGCTAGTACTCCTTTATGGATATTCAATACTTCACCTTAATATATCATATGCTGTGTGCATCCCGTATCGAGTGATGTAGAGATGCCTACAAGTTACAGTACAGCTCTGCTTTGTTTCTGCTATCTGGTTTTCTGCTTTCCTTCGAGGATTCAAGCAAGCCAAGTACAAGCCCTTCCCCTTTCCATCTGAGATACTCACATGCATCAAAATGCTTTCTTAAAAAAACACAGTAGCCAAGAAACTGGAAGTTGGAAAAGCCAGGAAAAACCAATGAGTTACCCTGCTCTGCGAGAGTCTCTACAAGTGTTGCCATTGGCTTCTGCGACAGTAATAGATGGTCTTTAATTTTCTTCTCATGCTAAGCTCCTTTCCCTCTCTCTCCTTGTTGGTAAACCAATCCCTTACACCGCAGTTGGTAACGTAACTGTCTCTTTGAGCATTGCAACGGCCCTGCAGTGCCCATTGACAAAACAGCTTGGTGCTTTAGGGTGCATTAATGAAACAAAATTACTCACTTGGGTAATTGCTACAGATCACTAACTTTGTTGCTCATTAAGTGCATATACTCTTTTTTTTTTTTTTTCTTAGTTCTTCTAGAGTCTCTCCTCTCAACTGACTCAAGTAGAGCTACTTAAAAAAATTTCAACTGGAAATAACAGGTAAATCAAAAGAACAGATGCTTTTAAAAATGTAAGCATTTCCAAAAGTATTATGAAAAATTAAACATTGCTGAATTAAAACATGGGTCTTACACTTTGTATTTAATGTCATTACTTTTGGAAATAATTTGTGCACTTGTTTTCCTTTCCGTATCTCTCTTTCAGTGAAGTTCAAGAAAGAGCTCTTCACTTCTTTTTTACAGTAAACAAGGAAACAGAACAGTGAAAAAAAAAAGTAAATGTGTTTGTAGGGGAGATTGGCTTTCAATTCAGTATCTTGTAATTTCGGTCTTATATTTTGTTTGGAAAACACTAAAAGTAGATGAAAACTGAGTTTTCCTACTTCACTGCAACTGTTCCCAAGAAGAATGAATAAGAAAAGAACAGAAAAAAAAATCAAGAATCCCCAGACTGTGGAGGCAAATATAGAAATTTAATTCTAAAATAATAAAATGAAATATTACCCTTGAAAAAAATGTTATTTATGGAATTATAAGAATAATGAAGCTGTAATTTAGAATTTACTTTTTTCGCCTAGATCTTTGAGCTTCACCCGTTTCACTTCTATTTTCACTTTCCAGCCCAAACTGGAAGTGAACATGGTAATACTAATGTTTCATCCTTGCTGAAAACTCCAGCTCCTACCACTCCAGCAGAGAGCTGGCTGTGAAGCTGTTTGACTCTCTGCAGCCCCTTGGGAGCCCTGGGCTGGGCACACAGCTGCCTGGCACACACTGGTCCTGCAGAGAGCAGCGGGGCCCATGGCTGCTCCAAGCCGGTGGGGCACCAGCCACGGCCAGGTCCTGCAGGGACTTCATGCCCCTTTGTGGCAGGACACAGAAACCTGCCCCAGGCTCTTGGAGTGACAAAGCTCCTTGCCTGGGATGGCTCATGCCCACGCAACCCCCGTGCATGCATCTGTGCAGACCTGTCGATGACAATGCTCTGCTGTCAGTGCTGCCAAGTTTGCTCTCATTAGGATAACTGATTTAAAGAACATCACCTCTTGTAAGAGATAAAAGAAGGAAAAGCCAGTGTCCCAGCAGCTAAGGCCAGACCTTTCTATCCTTTAAACACAACCGACATCTTTCAGCACTCTGGAAGAGAACTGACATTGTGGCTGGGATGCACTTACACAAAACAACTGGAGTTGTACCGTAGCAGATTGCAACTTCCTGACAAAGAACTCAAAGGGCAAGAATAAAACCATGGAAATAGATGGCAGCTCCAACCTGGCCATATTTTCTTTCTTTCTACACACCAGCCTCAGAAAAAGTTATCATATGCCACACATTTCTGAATAACACAGCTCAGCAAGCTTGCAGGAACCAGACAGACTCAAAATAATGTTTTTCATACAAAACACAATGAGGTCATATTTTGTCTTTCATCTGGGATAATAAAATTATGCCTTGGCTACATCGAGTGGTTTCATGCTAATGGCATCTTTGCTGAGCTACATTTTTAAAGTAGAAGCATTTGTATGCTTTGCAAAACAATCAGATAAGACCCAAAATACTTTTCTTAGCAACTCACCATACTAAAGATGGAGAGATCCTGCACATAGCTACATGCACAATCAACTTCTAATAAAGATGTTCAGCAGAACAGAAGAAAATACACAGACCTTTCACATACAAGTGCATGGGAAAAAAAATCTTCGTTTCTAATAAAATGAGCTTAGTGGAGAGATTCTATGTCGTCTTCTCATTTTATTTTTTTTTTCCGTTAAATAACATGTATCTTCTAGTTCAAAAGAACAGGTGGTTGGTTTGCACTCTTCCCCAAGACTTCTTCAGCTTTAAAGTTAAAACACATGTTTTAAAAGATGCTGGGATAGCTTCTGCAAATGTGCACTCAAGCAGCTGTTATACAGATAAATGTCTTCACATGAGTATCTGCTACATGAACTGGGGGTTGCCTCTCTAAGAGACTTTCAAAGCCAGCTTTATTGTGTTGCTAAGATCCAGACAAGGAATGCCAGCCTGGACGAGGTTTAAAATGGATTTAAAGCATTTTATCATCAGAAACAAGTCCTCAAAATGACTAAATGGGGCAGGAAGCACTGGAAACTCCTGAATTTTTATTTCCCAGAAGGAGATGAGCACTCATATTGTTCCTCAGTGTTTTTATTTCATCTGAACTGGAAAAAAAAATTAATAAAAACAATACTGCACAATGGAACACAGTATTGTTTGGGTAAATAACACTTAGAAGAAAGCCAGTTCATTATTATCACTTGAGATTGGAGGCCCATGCTGAGACCAGTGACCCGCTGTGCTGGGATCTGTGTAAACACATGATGAGACGCAGCTCTTGGGCCGAAGAGCTTGCAATCCAAACACACAAAGCAAACATTAGAGGCATTACCATCATCCTCATACTCATTGCAGGCCTGTCACACTCTCTGTAGAGAATTAATGGAAACATCAGTTTCATCCACCTTTGCGTTTTGTTCCCCCCATTTTCCAAGCCCTGTGCTCTGCACTTGAGCTGAATCCTGCAGGGCAGTCAGACGTGACATGACCCACGGCCCCCACCACAGTGCTGTCTGGGAGGAGAAACACACGTGAGTCAGCAGCAAGGACCCCTGTGACTCAGGCCAGATGATCAGTGTCTGCTTACCCCTGTCCAAAGGAGTTTCTCCTGTGCCACGGAGATGAGGGACACTGGAGTGACACCCAGACTGCAGATGGGAGGAGAACCATGATGATGTCTCTAGTTGCCTGCAGACTGGCAAGCTGGTCTCCCCCCTGCTATCAAAGAACGAAGCAGACAGAAGAGACCTGCACGTCCGGAAGTGATTTGGAAGGAAGCTCTTCTGCAGCATTTTCACCCGTTTCCTGCCTTCTGCTTTGGCAGCACGCGGCACTTCCTCCGTCCCGCTGCTGGGTACACGATTGTGCACAGTGTGGGCACAGAAACGTGAGATGAGAAACAGCCTGAAGGAGGGGACAAGCACCAGCACCACCAGTACCTGCCGCTGGTTTTCAGCACTTGTTGAGCTCAAGCTTAACTAGAGAGCAGCTGAGATCTGCAGGTGTGTGGCGGCCGACGGCGCCCGGTGAGGAACTGCATCGAGTTCACCTCACCCCAACCATCTCTCTTTCAGTGCAGTCCAACGGTACGAGTGATCTGCCTAAATTTAAATATCTTCATGTAGCTTGTCTGTTTTTTAACTCCTGGGTTATTTCTCCCAAAGCCAGTGGAAGCAGACATGGCATTATTATGTCTGAATTATTATGCTGCCTAGAGGATTGAAGGCCCACCATGTGGCTTATGCTTTTTTTGTTGTTGTTGTCATCTAGACTATTATACTATTTTCAACACATCATTTACTCTACTGTTGTAATAAATGACTAAACCTGGCCGTTACAACAAAGATAATGTGAAATATTAAAACTCATTAAGCTGTAATAAGAAAAATAATAAACTTTTTACCCTGTAAATACATATGAAAAAAAAAGTAGCATA